TCTTAGCCAAAGACAGAGACAGAGTCCAGGGCCAGTGACGGCAGCCAAGGAAACGCGGTGGTTGACATTTGCAAAAACGGAAATTGAATTCTAAAATATTTATTAGTCTCCCCTCATCCACTGCGCTACAGCAACGCCAACAGCTTAGCATACTTTTCGGGGCAGGCAGGGCAGCAGGAAAAGTGAGTGATTTATGCAGTGGCCTCCCAGCAGCAGAAGCAGCAGCAGCCACAGCAAATTGCAAATGAAACGCAATGAAACGAATCGAAATGGAATGAATTACAACTCGTACTTATGCATGAATATACACCCCCATCCCACCCCACCCCACCACACGCAATAAGCAGGAGCATGACTACGAATAGATCCCTAGATCCACAGCCACTCGTGTGAGAGAGAGAGAGAGAGAGCGAGGGAGAGGCTGCCAATCAAATCGCGGGGGAAGCATCCGCACCCTTCCCCCCCACTTATTACTCAGCTTGGACACATGTTACACACTGTTTGAGCCATAGATTTATTACAAACAATCATCAGGATTTGCCGCCTGCTGGCCTGCTGGCCTGCTGCTCTCCTGGCAAGAGGAAGTGTGGCTGCGGCGGACATGTGGAGCCAGGACATGGAACAACTGTTGGCTGCCTGCCTGCTGTCCTGCTGACATTCGACTATTGAAAGTCAATTTCGGGTGCGTGCCACACGCTCATTTGTCCAGTTTATGGCCGAACATCATTTGTTTTTTGGGCCATTTTCTGCCAATGAGGCGCAAACGCCTTTTATGCGTTTCAATAAATTCTCGCCTTCCGGCCTTCCCTCCACATTCGCCTTCCCTCCCCTTTCCCCTCCTCCATATCCTTTCCGCCTCCTCCCCTGGGTCCTAATACCTGTTTATTGTTGCAGTGTTTACAAGGCTGCTGACATTGCATTACAAATGAGTTTGTTGGGCTCTGCTTTCAAAGTTGAAAGTTTAATTTGCTGCCTTGATGGGCAATTAATGTGGCCAGAGGCCAGTGTTGCATTTCCTGCATATCCTAATACACATACAAACGCACATACATGTCCACTCTTCAAGTGGAAATCATCTTTTGGGTAATTTTAAAGGCAAATTTTGATTTAGACGATGAATTTGTGTGGTGAAGTATTTACAATTGAATGCATTTATATGTCTAAAATTACTGGAGGAGCAGTATCCTTCTCACATAGGTTGGATCCCTAAAATATAAAAAAACATACCTAAAATTCACTGAAATTTTTTAAAATTACAGCTGTGGCAAGAGCTGTACCTGGCAGTGGCAGAAATCCTAATAGCCAGAACACACCAAAGAGTACTCCATACACTCCTCTCTCAATGTCTCTCTGTCTCTATGGATATTTATGAACCCTTGACCATGTCCCTGTTCTCTATTAAGTGTCGCTAACCGAAACAGAACAGCAGCAGAGAGGGAATGGGGTAGAAGGCCCTCCAATAATCAAATTGCAGTTGCCAGCTGTCAGTGGCAGTGTCCTGCTGCAGCAGCAGCCGCCCCTATGCTGATGTTCTCGTATGTTGGAGAAAAATAAAAAAAAAAACAAAAAATAGAAGCAACAAAAATCTGTTAGAAATCCTATTTATATTTCGAAACAATAACCATTCAATTCCATCTAACGACTGGGGCCACGGCTGCAGCAACGGCTACAGCTACGGCGGGCACATAACGAACCAATTGAGAGCCACGGACACGGGGACACGGCCCTTTGGGTGGGTGCAAGCAGTGTGGGAGCGGTAGGGAGTAGCATTTATTACCAATTGCTGCTATGGTGGCGTATGAGAAAAATACTCGTGTATTTGCCCTTTAAAGCGAAAACATTTGAAATGCCTGTGTGTGTGTCTGTGTGTGGGTGGGGGGCACTGACCATTGCATTGGAGACTGGACAGGACACCGCAGGCGCGACGACACAAACAAAACGTGATTCGCATACAAATAAACAAGGATAAAGAAGGCGGAAAAGCCCACACACACATGACCCCAGCCCCGCATCCCTTTTTAGGGGGACGGTGGCTTTTGGAATTGAAACAAATGCCACTGCACCGGGGCATGCCTATAAATTTTTCCACAAAATACATGGCCAAAAGGTGCAGCCTGCAACTGCAACTTGCAGCAAGGGAATGGTTAAAGGAAAAGGTGGTATGGGTGTATGGGAAAATGGTAACTGGGAGCTGGGAACTGGGACTGGGCCTTCGACTGGTCAATGTGGGTGTGGTCGTGACACAAAAGAGTCATGAAATGACCAACTGGGGCATTGTTTAGGGGCAAGTGGCTCCACCGGCCACACAGGACACACAACATTTGAATGCAAAGCAGGTGGCAGGCCGGCATCGTCTGTCCCACTGTCTTTCCTTCGATTTCCTGAAATGTTAGAGAGGATTTTCCTACTATCCTGCCACCTGTCAATGGCAATTACGTCCGAGGATTCGAGGGCTCGAATGGCACTCACAAATCACGGCGCGAAATGAGGAGTCAACTATCTCGACCTCAGGTTGTGCAACGTGCAACTGATGCAACTCTCTGTGATGCATGTGCTGCAATTTCGTTTCGAGTTCATGCTGCTCTGCTGATAATTTGTCCCCCAAAAACAAATCCCAGGGCTCATGCCAGCTTCAGCTTCAGCTTCAGCTCCAGCATTTGCTTTACAAACATTTTGGCAGTCTCCGCAGCTTCGTTCGTGTCCTGTCTGGTGTCCATCGTGTGGCAGGCACACCTTTCTCTCTCAACCAGCAGAGGAGTTCTACCTTCCTTCGACTGATCGATTAGTTGAAGAAGCAAATACTTTCCACCCAGGGAATGCTGCCGTCACTCGGTGCTGCTGCTGCAGATGCGACTCCCCCTCTGATGTGGCACGTTTTATGTCTACCACTCTGCCACTTTCAACTTTATCTCTAGACGACAGCCTCAAAACGTCTGTTTCGAGCCATCGGCGAACATTTCTCACATGTCCTACGACATTTTGTTGCAATTTTTATATGTGCTTTTATGCACTTGAGTGGCTGCCACAGATCCCACTCCCTGCCACGCATCAACACTTGGAAGAGACAGGACCAAATGCTGTCACTCGCTAAATTGAGTAACATTTTTATGGCAATTTACCCGAAGAGAAGTAGATTCCGTTTGAATTATTGGTGGGGTAATTACCAGAGTATTTGCCTCATTAAGAAGTTTTTTATCTAGCAGCTAAAAAGTGGCAGAAAGTTGATCAAAATTTAATCAGGGAATCACTGGGGGAATCCTGCTCGTATGATATGTAAATGTTTGGAGTTCCAACAACTTTGGAGCTCTAATGAACCATTCAGCAGAGAGTGAATGCTTTACACTCATATGATGAATACGAATGAGTTTCTGGGTGTGTGTGTGTGTGTGTGTGAGTATGTGAATGTGTGTTTCTGGCTATAATCACTGCATATATGAATTAAAAAGTTTTCTCTCTTTCTGGGCTGGAATATATTTTTGTTGTTGTAGTTTAAAGCAATTTTGAAGTCATTTTGTAGCCAATTTACGGAATGTGTCTGCCTGCCTCCTGGTTGTGTGTGTGTGTGTGAGTGAGTGTCTGCAAATGCAATTACAGTTAGCTCACACACACACTCGCACACAGACAAATGCAAGTGTTTGTTTGCGCTTCAGCCATTCCGACATTCGCCTCCACTCTCTCTCTCTCCCCCTCTGATTTTTTTTCTCTTTTTCTTTTTTTAGCTTGCAAATGAGTCATGCTAATGGCAAACCATTAGCCAAAATGCCACTGTGTGTGGCATATGCATGCATATGTGTTTTTGTGTGTGTGTTGGTGATAATTAAGTTGTGTGTGTGTGTGTGTGGCATTTTACAGCGAGAAATGAAAGAGAAATGTGTGTGTGCGTGTGTGTGATTTTTTGAAGGCTGTTGTTAAATATTTAAATGTATTCCATGCCCTTTGTCGATGCGGTGGCTGTTCTGTTGATTGCCTTCTGCCTTTGCTGCTCTGCTGCTGCACCAAAAGTCTAATTGCAATGGCAGCACATCCCCTCTTCCCGTACCCTTACCCTGCCACAGCTTTTACCGCAGCTCTTTCAAGGCCTTGAAACTTGTTCGAAATTAGAATTATTAGAATTGAGTTTCATTTGTGGCACTCTCGCCTCAACAAACTTTTCCAAATGAAGTTCTTTTGCCAGCAAATGAACTGCCATTTGTGGAGTGGGTATGCCAGAGAGTGTTTTCCATTCGTGCACTTGATATTTCATTTTCATTTCACATTTAATTGAAGCTAATCAACACGCTAATAGCTACCACTGACTGCTATTAGCCGCCAGACAGGCCATGGCCGCCACCGACAGATATTTTATTGTTATGAGGCTTCGGCTCTGTGCGGCTCGGCTCCGGCTCTGGCTCTGTGCTTCAAAATTGCACTTTAATGACTAATTTAGGTTTCATTTTGTCTGCGTGTGTATGAGGCAGGAAAGGACAACACACGGGCACAGCACATGGGGACAGTGGTACCTCTGGCAATGGCAATGGCCATAAGTGTCAGCGGAAGCGAACACTTGAGCAATGGGCGAATACGACATTTCCTTAATGAAGCCCACACAGTCATACAAAGTGGTTGCCCCGCATGCCCCTTACGCCCACACAAGTGGCATAAAACTTTATGACTGTGTGGCTCTCTCTCATTGCATATAAACTCTAAACGGAGTGGATGGGGACAGGCCAGGCCAGGCCAACATGGCGTATGTGTAATTATAACGACTAGAGAACTTTTTTTTGACATTACATTGGGTGGTGGGTACTCCACATGTCCAATGCTCTGTCCCTCTGTCCGTTGTCCTCCTATTTGTGCATTTGTCAGCTTTTTGTCATGTCTACAGACCACCCACCCCTCCCTGGTCCCTTCTCACGCCATCTCTGTCCCGATGAGCTGTCAAAAGTTTGGAGAAATGTATGTACAAGCTGCAGGATGGAGTATGGAGCATAGATAGAAATAGATGGGAGACACGTCCTTACCTGACACCAACAGCTCACTGGTGCTGTTAACCAAATTGTCCATAATTGGCTGGAACGTGTAGAATGTCAGCGTTTCCAATTTGTTCGCCTGCACATTGATGGACAGCAGCGCTGGGGTGCCACGCAGAAGGCCATTGTCGATTTTCTTGAGTAAATTATTTCTCAAATTCAAAGTTTTCAAGGTATTCAAACCATCCAAAGCACGCTCGGAGATTCTCTGAAAGTGAACAACCACAAAAATAGCATGTTAAGATTCGTTTTTTTGTGTTAAATTTTAACTGGAGGTTATATTTGAGCCTTTGATGTGTGTGGTGGGGTGGTGGGGTGGAGCAAATAAGAACGAGAAAAAAAAATACACATATATATTTTTGACTAGCATTTTTCCGCATTTTTGCATATTATTTTCAATGTTTTTCCTCTCCACATAGAGAGAGAGAGAGGGAGAGAGAAAGAATTTTCGCTTTTCATTGTCTTCCATTGTTTTTGTTTGCGTATTTATTTATGTGTACACATACAGTCACCCACATAAATGTATGCACATATTCTCTTCTCTCGGTTACTCAAAGGGTACGCAGGGGTATATAAAATTATTAATTTTGAAGATACCTAAAGCCCGAGTCATTGATAATGTTTATCAACACTTAACAGCCGGATCTGCTTTCAATCGGATTTATTATGGGCAGAAAAAACAGACAACAAGTGGCTTTCAAGCACTATTTAATGCCAGAGCAATCCGCTTTTCAGTGCATACTTTTAATGGGTATCTGAATGTCGATCCACGTTTGCCCTCTACTCCAAACATTCGCCGACTGGTTTTTGTTTGTGAAATTGTGCCCCAATTCGTTTGTCTTGGATTTTATTATACGGAAAAAAGTGTATGGGTGTTTTTTCTGTTATTTTATTTTTTTGGTGTTTCTGAACGAATGAAAGTGAAACCGCCAACACAGTTCCCCTCCCCACACTCTTTCACCATGTTCCCACATTATTTAATATTCAATATGCTTTGTCGTTTCGGCTAAGAGTTGGGGAAATGGAAAAATTATGCATATTATATGACGCGTCCAAGGAGGAAAACATATGAAAAATAACCGAAAAACATGTAAAAGCGCCAACAAATCCTACTACCCTGTAGTAGACCGCCGCGCGCCCGCCACCCACCCGTTCACGATGTTTTTCTTCTGTTTGTTTGTTGAGATGAGTGACATATAAAATATATATATGTATATTTCATGGCGATATTTTGTTAGTTTGATGAGCGGATCCCATTTATTAGCCTGACAAAACGAAAACATATAATTTACGAGCGATTTATGTGAGGATTGTACCAGAACAAAAACAGGCTGTGAAAGGGGGGAGCGGGTTTAAGGATTGATTGAACATTTTCATGAATAATTGCCCCGGGAAATTCCTTGAAAATTCTCTCTCCTGAAATTGATTTTTCCAGAATTTATTTAAACTCTTCTTTCATTTTCTTAGCTTTTCTTTCACTTTCCTTAAGCTCTTAATTGCTCTTCAACTTTTAGTTGCTTAGTTTTCAGAACTTTCACTTATCCCCTTTATCCTGATTATCTACTTATATCTGCTCTATGCCTGTTTTACACACGCACACACACACACACAAGGAAGTATCTGCTTTTATGTGGTGCCAATGCCTAAACCTTTTAACGGCAAATGATTTATGAAGTGAGCAAAAAAACGAAAGCAGCTTCTGCTACGGGGCCAACGAACGAACGAGCGAACGGCCACCTAAGCAAAACATGCAACACAATTTGCTTTTATTGAAGGCAACAATGCCTTACACCACACCACAACACCACAACACACACACACAAAGGACACGGGGGGACACGGGTGAGACTTTTTTTTTTCGGGCTGGCTCTGGCCCGAGAGTAAGCAAATCCGGGGGAAACAATGCTCAACGTAGGCGATAACAAGCCCAATCATTATGGCTATGACAATGCGGCAAAGAAGATGGATCCAGTCCGAAGTCGAGCGAACCAAAGCGAAACCCACTTGAGCGAGCAGCCGCTGCTGCCGTCGCACTTGATGGTCCTGTAACCTACTGGCCCCAGAGTCCTATGTTTCCTGTGTGTGTGTGTGTGTGTAAGTGTGTGGGTCCTGTGACACATATGAGAGTTGCCTGAGTGTGACATGATATGCGAGCACTTTGTAAAATGGGAAAAATGAAGCACGAGGCACGAAGCACGAAAGGAGGAGCTGAAGGAGCAGCAGCTGGAGTAGCAGCTGGAGCAGCAGGACGAACGGCTCTAGCGAGTGTCTAACAATGTTGGCCCAGGATATGGATATGGATATTCAGGATTTACGCTCATACAGAGAGAGAGGGATGCCTTTTGCCACTCATCTTACATAACTTTGTATGCTTCATGTCCTTTCGCTTCGAGTGTTAAGCGACATTTTTCTATTTACCAGTAACACACGCACACACGCGCACACAGCCATACACCGAATGGTGGCCATTTTTATAGCTTCGCTTGGCTCCTGCGTTGGCCAGCAAAAGGGTCTCTGTTCCCGTCCTTCGTTGCTTGCGCATATCAGATGGCAACGAAAGGAGTGGAGTACCCCATAAATCCATTATTCCCATGATTTGTTATTCAATATTTTGTAAGTAGATTAACTTGCGGCACTGCCACATTTGTTTGCCACACAGCAGCAGGAGCAGCAGCAGCAGCGTCGTCGTCGTTGTCGTCGAAAGGCGATTGTCAGCGTGTGGTCTGCCCCAAAGCGAAATGTGCGAATTAAGCAGAGGATCCAACAGCAGACCATTCCTCGCCCCGAAAAAGAAGGGACGAAAACATAATTTACCAATCTATTTATCATATTTTCGCCTTGGACGGGGTCAACCAATGGCTGAGTGACCACTTAAATCACCACAAGAATAGACATTCGAATTGAATTTATGACACCAGCATAAAGTTGTTCTCTTCTGTGTGTCTGAGTGTCTGTGTGTGCGTGTGCCCCAAGGATATGCCATTTATAGCTCCAGACCCTCTATCCCACTCCCACTGTCACTGCCTCTTTCTCTCTTTCTCTCTTTCTCTCTCTCTCTCTGTTTCTTATGGCCACTCGACAATTTATGACCTCTTAAGTCAGCTGCTGGTCCAAATGCTGACCGAATAGTGGGGGCAGCTGGCTGGCAGCTGGCAGCGGGGGTGTCGGCACCAGAAAAATCTCTTTAATCCACTTGCATTAGACTTGATTGAGAAGTTTCCTTAGCCATGCTAGATTGCATTTGTTTCGTGCTCTGGCGGTGCCTATAAATAAAACTCTACTAAAATCTCAATCTAAGCGAAATTTGTTCAAGTTTCTGTAGGTGCTCAAGAGCGACTGTAAAAGTAATCTATACCCATAAGAAAATACCTAATATACAGCTCTTATATAGTTATTTTCCAATTTGGTCTTCAATTGAACATCTGCCATTGAAATTTCTAACAGACTTTAAGCTAAAGTAGACTTCTGAGTAGCATTTCCACTAAGAATCTTTCCTTAACTCCATCCATCCCAAATATCTTCAATCTTTAATGCTTTTTTATTTGTTCTTTCTCAAGCGTATCCCCTAAAAATATGCCACAAAAACTGCATTTAAAACTTTAATTTGTGGCTACCATTTCTTAGTTTCTTTCTTGATTTCTTGACCAAAAGCACTCACCTCAATGCGATTATCATCCAGTTCCAGTTCACTCAAGCTCCACAGCTCTGCAAAGACCGTGTCGCCAATAAAGTTCAGATTATTACGCGTCAGCTTCAGGACATTGAGGTTGCCCAAGCCGCGAAAGATTTCGCTCGTGAGCACATTGATTTGATTGTGGGCCAAATTCAGGTAAGTGAGACGCGCCATGTCCGCGAAGAGACCCTCGTGGAGGGTGCTTATGTTGTTGTTGTTGAGAAAGAGACGCTCGCAGAGCGGCAGATTGCGGAAGGCATAGCGATCCATCTCGAAGATCTGATTGTGCTCCAGATTGAGTTCACGCAGGCGGATGTGATTGGCAAAGGCGTCCTGATCGAGGGCCATAATGTGATTGTTGTTCAGGATAATTCTCTCGAGGAAGGGCAGATTGGCAAAGGCATAGCTCTTCACGATCTCCACCTGGGAGTACTCAATGACGATGCTGCTCAGGTTCTTCAGCGGCTCAATGATCATTGTGGGAATGTAGTCGAGTCGCGCGTTGTTCTGAATCACAAACTTCAGTTCCCGCAGCCGCTTCTGCTGGTAGAATCGCGTCCATGTGGTGTCATTCTGATGCAGTCCCTCGGAGAACACCCAACACTCGGCCTTCTGCACCGGCACATGGTTCTCGTCGGGCGTGCAGTAGCACATCAGCTTCATGTCCCGCCTGCGCGTGCAGAAACCGGTGGAGTCCATGGGTCCAGTGTAGCCAGTGCTGCCGCCCGGCAGTGAGGAGCTGCTGGTGAAGACATAGCCAGAACCAGAGCTTGCGGCTGTCAACGAGGAGGAGGAGGCACCCACTGAGGATGAGCCGCCATAGTAGGCGCCATTAGTGCTGGTTGAGGCTGCCACGGAGCCGCTGCTGCTACTGCTACCTCCCTGCTGACGACTGCGATTGCGGCGTCCCTCCTTGTCACTGGAACGCGCCTCGGTTGGCGGCGCCATCAGGCAACAGCACAGCAACAGCAGCAGCAGCACTGAAGCCGCTGAGGCCGCCATTTTATGGCGCTGATGATGCGGCAACATTTCGTTGCGGGCTTCAATGGGTGGGGTGGCGCTTCTGGAATGGTACAAACAATACGGAATGACTTGGTCAATAAAATTTGTTTATCTGTCGTTTGGGTGCTGCTGTCATAAAACGGGCCAGGACAGGCAGAAGGTGGAAATTACACCCAAAAAAAAAAAGGAATTCGATTTTCATGGTCTTGCGCGGAAATGGTTTTGATTTGATGATACCCCAAAGGCAGGAGACTGAAAACCATCTGCTGGCTCCCCAACTCCCCCTTGCTGCGCCTTTCTTAACCTTTCTTGTGGCACATTTAAATGGCAATCACAGAAGTTGCCTCTCATTGTCGCTTGAAAAGTGTTCAAGTGCTGCTGCTGCTGCTGCCTTTCGTTGCCCATAAAAATGCTAATTAATGTTGTTAACTTTTTCACTTTTTGCCTCATATTTCAGTTGGGAATTCCGCGGTGAATTTCTCATTCCTTACGCCTGCCTGTCTTCCTCTCTTCCCCTTCATTTTCTCTTTTCTCACACTTTTCCCCCTAAATGAAAATTGGCCTCTTTCTGCTGCCTACTGTTGGCTTCATTTGACGCTCGACTGCTGCTGCTGCTGGTGCTGCCGCTTTCAACCCCTGCCTGCCACAGATTCGGCTGCTCTGCTCTGCTGCTGCTGTTCTCCATTTTACCCCCATAAACAAATTTATCGAGCTCATAAATAACTGCAACACTGTCGCTGATTGTTCGCTCAATGGCAAACGGCTTCATTTCGAATGGGGGAATCCCTGTCTGTGTCCCCTTGCCTTCTTTTTGCATTTCAAGTGTCATTGGGCAAAGTGCTCTTTAATTATGCTCGTATTTTTTAATAAATTAATAAGTCACATTGTGACATTGGGCATATTTTTAGTGTCTAATTTTGCTGCTGCTGCTGCTCCACCTCCTTCTGTTCCTCCTTCTCCATCTTCTTCATGGCATAATGAAGTGTAAATAAGTTATTGTCGGATGTCAAGTGAGTTATCCTCGTTATCGGCAGTCAGTGAGGAGAGCCAGTGATTTGCATAAAATATTGTCGCAATATCCAGAAATCGAGGCAGCAGGAAAGGCAGGGAATGGGGCAGAGAGAGAGAGAGAGAGAGAGAGGCAAAAAGTGTGGCAAAGAGGCAGGGCAACTTCCTGCTTCTGTTGAGGATTAGTTGGATGCCGAGAGGAGAAGCCGAAAGTCATTTGAGTTATTGACTCTCGTTGCCGTTGCCGTTGCCGTGCCTTGCCTTGCCTTGCGCCATGCTTCATTACATTGATTTCGATTATAAATTTTAAATAAAACGATGATAAGTGCTTTTGCGGATGCTTATTCAGGATTATCTGTCATCCTGGCTCCGCTGCCCCCGCTCCCACCCCCCGCTGGCACTTGTTCTTCTCTTTCCCTCTGATCTCTTTGGTCCATAGGGGCGAGGGCAAAGTTCATGGGGCTCAAGCAGCATTAGAAGTGGCATCACACCGCAGGATTAAGTACTCAAAATATACATGAAAACTTTTTGGGGCAGACAGCAGCAGAGAGCATGAAGCATGAAGCAGCAGCAGACAGCAGCAGCAGCAGCAGCATCTGAAGATGACTCCTTGATGACTCCAATTTAAATATCAAAGCGAAAGTCAAAACTAAAATGTCCTGACGCACGCACACGGATACACACACCCACACGCACACTCACATACATGGAGAGAGAGAGAGAGAGAGAGAGAGAGGACCACAGGAGCCACAGGATATGCGGCAACACTAAAGGCACTGAGAGCCTTATAGCTCTTGAGAGATATTTGAAATATTCTTGGAATTTTTGAGTGTGTCTTCAAGCAGCAAATCAAAAAATACAACTCTGCCCCAACCATACGCCCCCACTGAATGAGTGTGTGTGTGTGTGTGTGTGCGTATGTGTAATTAGATTCTCAACGCACTCAAAATGAAAAAGAGAGAGAAAGAGAGAGATGGTGAGAGGGAGCTAGGGCGGAGGATTTACATCTTTATTCATTGGCACACATATGATGCAGGCGGCAAACGCGTCCTCGCTGACAGCCAATTACTCAAAAAGAGACCATGGCATCAAGAGAGAGAGAGGGAACGAGTGAGAAAGGAGCCAAAGAAAGAGACAGATAGAGTGAGTGTGTGTGTGTGTGTGTGTCTGTCTTCTACAAGCAAATGAAAAATCAATTTGTTGATTATGCATAAATCATAAGATTTATGCGATTCCAACGCGCTCTATATATCTCTCCTCTATGTATCCCCCTCTTTATCACCCTCGCTCTCTCTCTGCCTTTCAGCCTCTCTTCTCATAACTCATTTATCAAGCGACAGACACAACTTTGCTCCTCCTGCTGCTTCTTTCCTTTTCACTCATGTCACAAAATCACAAAAACAGAAAGCGACGAAGCGGAACAGCAATCGAGAAAGACATACAATCTTCTATACCTTCCCTAACACCCTCCCTGCCACCCCCTGCATTCGACCAGAAGGGAGCAGCCAAGAGACATCCATCTCCTGATGAACTTCTACTATATAAAACACCAAATCGTAACTAAGAGATTGCCAGGATGTCTAGACTGGAGTCTGTTCTTCCATTCTGCAGAATAGAGCAAGAGTATTGCTTGCCGGGAGAAATAAAGTGCTCAGAATTGATCTAGCTGCAGCTTAGGAGGTCTTTCAGGGCGCAAACAAAGGCTGTGGTCAACATTCCAGTGCACACCAAGACCAACCTTGGAGACACAAACAATTAACAGGAAAGTGATTGCCTCAGAAGGAATTTTTGGAAAGGAAGAAGCAGCACCGGGAGAGTAGCAACAAAGGAACATAGGAATAGTAAGACAGAAAACCCGAAGCTATTGGTTACCCTTGAATCGATCGTTGTTGCTGCTCCCACGAAAAAGAAGATCAAACAGGTTGCAATTAATTAGTTTCTTGATTAATTAATTAATTAATTGCTAGCCAAAGGAAGGTATGAATGTTCATAACGGCAGTATAAACATTTTGACTTTGTGTTTGTTCTCCGACTTGTTCACTTTTCTGCTGATTAAAAGAACAAAATCAGGGGTCAGAAATCCCTTTAATTTCTTGGAATTTAACCATCCGATTAAAGTAATTGTACCCTTCCGCCCTCCACACCACCTTCAAGGACTACACCAAGTACATAACCGGCAACATCATTAAGCAACACCAACAACAAGGACCAGTAGGAGCTACAACAACCGTGTGGTGAGTCCTGCAGGGCGGGTCTGGCCCTGGATATCGGCCTGGTTTTCCACCCCCTCCCCACTCTGCGCACTACCGCTCGTAATTCTGAAGGAAAATTGCAACAAGAAGCAATTTGTCTTGTTGTTTATAATTTCGATTAAACTTTCGAAGCGAGAAACGCACACACAGGACTCAAACAGGACTCGGGGCAGGTCCTGTGGAGCGTCGCATATGTTTCAAGTGTGTATCTGTGTGTTTGAGTATCTTTAAGTGTGTCTGTGTGTGTGCGTGCAAACAATGGGGCCAGCTAAAGGGGGTGCTTAGGGGGAGAGGGAGGCCCCCAAAAGGGAAGCGTGTGAAAGTGTGACAGAAACTGTTGACAAGGCGGACAAAGTGGAACGGCAGAGAGTGAGCGGGAAGCGGGGAGTAGCACGACCCAGTAGGAAATTGGAGCAAAGCCGCAGCCAGTCGACGGCTGACAGCCCCACTACGACGGCAACGGCGACTCCCAATGGCGGCCAGGCCAGGCCACGCAAGCAATTTTCCAGGGATATCCACAGACACTGGAACACACACACACACACACACACGCTCAGTTGCAGATGCAGACACACACACAGATAGATATATAGATAATATTTGTTGTAATGGAAATTTCTTAGCTTTAAAAAGACGCTACAGGAGACTGCGCCTCGTGTATGGCCTGCCTTGGCATGCCCGACTGCCAACTGCCGTGAGGATGAAGAAACTTTGGCTTATCGACGCTTCCCGCTGTCTATGCAAGCAGCAGCAGCAGCAAGAGGAGGGAGCAGAAGTGCCACAGCACACAGAAGTGTGGCGGAGCGGTGCCACGTCAGTAGAAGGGCAGGGGCAGTGTCTCCGATCAAGACAATGAGGCAGAAACCCAGTGAAAATCTGCCACTGTTGCCTGCCTTCGCGTGGAAATTGTTTTCAATTTTCATTATTTGACAAATGGTGACACTTCCGCTGTGTGGCAGCAACAGCAGTCAGCAGCCAGCAGCCAGCAGCCAACATTCCAGCAGAGACGAGCATAGAACAAAGTTGCACCAGAGAGAGACTTTAGGAGGAGACTTTAACAATATGTCTGCCACATGTCTTCATGTCTCACTCTTCCTCTGGGAAGTCTCTAGCGAGTCTCACACTCTTCCTCGTTGGCAGTCTCTAGTGTGTCTCTCACTCTCTCTCTCTGGCAGGAGTGTCTCTGTGTCTCTTTCTGTCCGTCTGTGTGTCATGAGGTTGTGTCAACAATAAGTTTTTATGCCGGAAGAGACTCCATAGTTGTTTATGGCAGTAAACCATCATCATCAACATGCCTCACACACATATACATACATACATGCATACATACATATATATATATGCCTGTATATATCTGTGTACATCTGCAGGTTTATCCCCCTAACTATCATGTGAATATAACTTTAAGCTCTGACATGAACGCAGCTTCAGAGACGTGCCTGACTTTGACTGACGGACTTGGCCGGGTACTACTGCGTGAGAGGTGGTAAGCGGGTAGGGCAGCCCCATAAAAACTCCTCTCTCTGCTGGTCAAACTGCAGTTGCTGTCTGTGGGTGGCTCTCGGTGCCCCTACCCCCACCCCTGGAGGTCTCTTCTTCTGCCGACAAATGACGCAAAGCTAAAGCCAAAATGGCATACAAAACACAGCCATCAAACAGTTTTCTCTGTTGGCCAAGTTATGACGACTTCCGCACACGTTTTATTTGTATTTCAGGGATTTGTCTTTTGCGTCACACAATTGCTGTCAACAACAGAAGGAGTCTGTCGGGCAGTGGCAGTGGCAGTGGCAGGAGGAGTAGCAGCAGGAACAGGGAGGGATCCCTCCCTACTCCTTTCAATAATATATATTTATTGTCAGGCACATGTCACACTTCATAAATATTTCATAAATTGATTCACATTTTGTTCAACGAAAGTTTTCTTCGACTGTTTCCGACTGTCATTTGTTAACCCTTTTTGCTGGCTCTGCTTTCTGCCTTTTTTGCCGCCTTACTTTTCCTTATTGTTATTACTGTTATCATGCTAGGTAGGGGGCTGGCTTTTTGGGTATTGGCAGTCATTGCCAGCTGACACATATTGTCCTTATGGAGGGTACCTACCACCTCCTGCCTCTGCCTGCCAATCTGCCAGCACTCCACATGGAAAATATTATTCAGATTCTCACTCTCGTCGCACTTTCGAATACTTTTACTTTGAGTTTCCCTATTCGTTTTTTAGCTTTTAGCATACCTGTCACCTCCTCCGAAAATAAAATGAAAAACTAGTTGCCAGAAAACGTAAACTTTCCCTCTTTATCCCCCGTCTCTCTCCTTCCACTGTGTATTTCTGGGCGTCTCCTGCTGCCTGCGCTGCCACCCTAAAGTTGACACATATTTCTGCTGCTGCCTCCTTATGCCTGCCACGCCCCCCCTCTAGACAGACAACGCCCCACTGCACTTGATCTAGCTGCTGCAGCATTACTTTGGCTGTTTCGCCTGCCTACATCCTGCCAGCCCTGCCTCCTGCTTTCTTTTTATGCATTTCTTTTTATTCGCGATTTTTTGGCTTTAACTTTTTGCTGCCACAATTTGTTGGCCTCTTCCTGTCACAGCTCTCTCTCTCTCTGTAAGCCTTGGCAACTGCTTAATGCCCAAATTGGCAGCACCTGGCCCCCCTTCTGTCTGTCGTATGTCCTGCCAGATAAGTAGAAGAGTCGTCGCGCGTTTTTCTTATTCTGCTTTGACTTTCAAGCGAAGTAGAAGCGGAATTAATTTCGCTGTTGCAAGTTTGTGTGTTGCAACAACTTTGCAAAGTGAAAATTTGTCAAGCAGCGCTGCTTCCTCCAGGACTCTCTCGGACTTACGGGGAAGCCCATGCTCCTTCTCTGCTCACACTCTCGTCCGTCTGCTGTCTGGATATAATAAATTCTTTCAGTTTAGGCAAAAATGCTCCACGAAGACAAACAGACAAACACAAACAGAGAAAAAAAACAAACAAAAACATCGAGCAAACATAAATACAGACAGTTACCCATAGAAGAGGTCCTGGCGAAGGAGTAGAAGTAGGTGTAGGGGGAGCAGTAGAGGTGAGGCGCAAAGCAGTGTGAGAGTTTGTGTCTGTGACACAACTTTTAACTCACTTGCCAAAAATATTTTAGCAAATTTTTGAATAAAACATTGCCAAGATGCCATTTGACAGTGGGGAGTGGGAGGATGTTAGCCTCTACTTCTATCCGTTTTCTATATCCTATTAGCTCTCTCTCTCGCTCTACTCTCTACTGCACCTGTGTGCCGTATGTCATATTTTGGGCACTGCTTTTAGATGAGCAAAGATTTTCTCTCAGACAGACAGACTTAATTAGTTGAAATTCCTGGAGGGTAAGCCAGCCAGGACTACTCATGGAGCCACACACATGACTCTCTTGGTTCCTCTTCTGGGCTGAAGCATTTGCTTACCTTTCCTTTCGATTGAGTGCTGGGGGAAAAGGCCTCGTCACGTTCAGGGGCAGACCGCGTCGTCAATCTATTTGCTGACTAATGCAATGTCTCTGTGGCTCTCTCTGCAAAAGAAGGTGGAAAAACGAATTACTAGAAATACTATGGGGAAATGACTACAATTATTTTAATGTCATGTTTTGGTTCAAGTTACAGACGCAATACATAAAATATTCGTATAAGAAGGAGGAACATTTTTTCGATATATTATTTATTATGGAACCTCCTTCGGCATTTTCACTCTTCTTTAAATGTTAATGGAAATTATATGTTGAAATATTCATTAGATATACATACATATGTAAAGACATGGGCGGAACGTTCATTCCTTTTCAATACTAGACCTAATCCTAAAATACGGCCCTCTGTCCTCTGTGATTGCTTTAATTGTTTTAGTAATTGTGGCAACTGGCCTGGGCCAGGATTTCATGTTTTGGTTCAAGGTACAGACGCAATACAGAAAATATTTGTATAAGAAGGAGGAACATTTTTTCTATATATTATTTATGGAACTCTCTTCTTTCTTTTCACTTTTTAATTGTTAATGGAAATTATATGTTGAAATATCTATTAGATATATGTATACATATGTGTATATACTTGGGCGGAAGGTTCATTCCTTTTCAATTCCGGGCCTAATCCAAAAACCCTGCTCCCTCCCCCCCACCACTGTAATTGCGTTAATTTTCTAGTAATTGTGCCTCCTGGCCAGGGCCCTAGGGTTTCCCATTGTTGCCGCCACAGGACATGCGATAACAGAAACAGAAAAAAACGCAGAAAAACAGGAACAAAAAAATAGCATGAAATAAAAGGAAAAACTATTAACACGAAGAAGGTAGAAAGGGACACTGCCGCTTGGTGCCACATGCCACATATGTACATATGTGTGTGTGCGTGTGTGGAATGCGTGGGTCAGATGATGACTTGGGTGGGGCGTTTAGCCAGTAGGGTAGGCGTGTGGGCTGGCGCGTTATTCAAATAGTTTCTGTATCGTCAGGGTCTGCGATGATGACGACAATGACGACAGCGCTGCCCACTCTCTGATGGCAGCAATTCCCCTTTGGTGCCACGCCCCACTCCCGCACTCCAGCCGCACTCATGTGGGGAGGTCTAGTGTGTATGTGTGTGTGTGGCATGAAATAATTGCATTAGCTATGCCTAAGCAGAAGAGAACCATAAAAAAAGGCCACCGAGCAAGTGGACATTTCCCTTCCAAATTCTCCATATATTTTTTGCCCCTGCTTTTTAGTGGTTTAGTCGGGAGGGGGGTGTGGGGCTGCTGGATGCGGGGCAGCGCCTGTTTACTGCAATTATAATCGTTTCCGAACATTCTTTGACCATTTCTCGGCTCATTCCCCGCATTCCCCGCTTTCCCAAGTGTCTACTTGGGTCGGTGTGGACGTTCGTTTCTTTCCACTCACTCCACCTCTCATTTAATGGTAATTACGCCCGCATTATATTCTGCAGCCAGCCAGTCTCTCACTCTCTCTCACTCCCTCTCTCTCTACCTCTCGTAAGCTTCATGTGTGGGTTTGAGGGTTACATTTTTTGTTATGTTATTTGAATACTCAGCGTCTGTCGATGCCTTTCCGCTGATTAAGCATTAAATAATTGCTGACTCGGACAAGAAAATGCCATTGTCTGGGTATTGATGTGGGGGAGCGGAAGAGAGAGAGATGGGATAGAGTGTGTTCCCTGTATCATTGGAATCTGAAATTTGATTGTCGGTGGAATGTCAAACAAAGTTCAAACGGCGGCTGCCACTGGCAACCGTCGACCGTCGACCGTCGACCGAAAACCCCAAATAGGGAAACCTCAGAAAAGCAATTCAACAAAAAAGCCACCAGAAAAATACAGAAAAATAGATAATCAGAAAATAATACAAATAACATTTCCATACATGTAAAACATGTGAAAAATTGACTTAAATGGTATTGATTGTTGGGCCGAAAGGTTAGCAAAGTGATTCAGAACCACTTTGATAGGATCTTCATGCGTTTGGCTTGGATTTGTATAGCTGTAAAAGGTAATCTGTATCTAAATCTATAAGTTAAGGCACAGAATTGATCACATAACAGACTTTTGGAGGCTTTAAGGATATATATCTATAAACTTCAGTACGAGCATCAGCAGAATTTGATATATTTCTTCGTGAAAACAATGGTATCTATGGCCTTTTCGTACTTTAAAAGTATCTATATCTACAGGCATATTGTAGCTTCCATTGCGTATAAAGTATAAAACATTTTTTTCTGCATTTTTAATTTTAATTTCCCCTTGTAAAAGGTTTTCCCCTACTCAAATTCCTCATACAACAAGACTCGCTTTTGAAATTGTTTAAAATCAATTTACTTAAACGTTCTTACACTCTCCCCCACTCTCCTTCTGCCACATTCCTGTCCCCACTCCCCCCTCCATCACATCTCTCAACAATTTGCATGTGGATAATCCTTGGAAAGACTCTTTCTGGAAATTGCTGCAACGTTTCTCCATTTCATGTGTGAGGCAATAAAAATTTAATATAATTACGCACAATTTCCAGTTGAAGTTTATGACAGAGACATGCACAAACACGTTAACAGAGAGAGAGAGGGAGAGTGAGTGAGAGAGGGGTAGTGCGGAGTGGGGCATCAGCAACATCACATGTATGGCAGGACCTCGACGTGACTTTTGACAGAGCCTTTTGGATCCTTTGGATCCCTGTGTTCTCTGTCGCTTTCTAGGGACTTTATAAGGCGCCGCCGCCTCTGCCACCGTCGCCCTTTAGACAAGACAAACATAAACACTTGTGCGTTCGGGAAGCAGCAAAGCTTTGCTGCTGCTGCTGCTGCTGTTGCGACAAATAAGCGACAGGCAGAACCCCTGAAGCTGCCTTCCCCGCTCTCCTTGGAGAAAAGTTTACAAGCAGCCAGGGTAGCCAAGTGTGTTGTGGCAGCCTCCACACACACACACATTCCCTTTACATGCAACACGGTATAGGGGAGAGGAGACACCGCTTGCCGCTTGTTGAGTGTGTGGGGAGGGGGCGTGCGCCCGGTAGTTAAATATTTGTTTCGCTTGTTTACCATTGAAGACCCCAAAAGCAAAGTTCTGCCACACAGATCCTACCTGATACCCTCCTGATAGCCTTGCCCCTTAACCTCTAACCAGTCACTACCCCTCCCCTCTTTCCACGGCAACCCCTCTACCTAGTATTCCCCTTCTAAAAGTCCTCTCCATGGACTTATACTCCTTCCCCATGCAGACTGTTCTCATTTGTCCGTGTGGCATGTTGTTATTTCTTCATATTGAGTGCCTGTGAATGATATAGGTGGAGGGTACTTCATAGGGGAATGCAGCAGAAATAAGTGGGAAAACATCATGAAGAAACGTGCAGAAAAAATAGCAGAAGATCGAGAAAAGAATTAGGAGTAAAAAATTCAAAAATTCCACCCAGACAATCTGTAACTTTAGCAGGAACTTTAGTTCCTGTCTGCCCTATATCTCCCTTCCCGTCCTGCCAACCACATGTCCTGCTCCTGATGCCCGGTGCTGCTGCTAATGTAATTAGGTAATAAAGCTGCTTGGCACCTGCTGTAACCACACTATCCCACCACTCTCCTTCTTTTTCTCTCGCTCCCATTTAACCGACTATAAAAACATTAGTGACAAAAATTAATTAGGCCAAAAACAGCAGCAGAACAGCAGAACAGCAGAACAAACACACGTTTCGAAGCGTATGGCCATGCTAAATGGGCATAATCAACTTCCGTTATTCCACCGCACCCATTGCCACGCCCCCCTACTCGTGGCACCCCCACTACCCCTTTCCAAGCCCTTTAGCCCACTGTGCTCTCATTTACAACAAATAAACAGGGATATAAAAACCATGAAACTGATTTTTCACGCCATTTTCATTTACATTTTTGCGGTTGTTTTTTGTTTTTGTTTTTGTTGTTGTTGGTGCCTCTCTTTTGCACTTTCTATGTCTGTGTGACGCTGTCTCTGTCCCGCTCTGTCCCGCTCTGTCCCGCTTGTGTGCCGCCACATCTGTTTATTTGCTCTGCCATGCCTTGCCCCAAGTGGTGGCAGCAGCGGCAGCAGTAGCGGCATCATGGAAACGCATGTGTAATTAAAATATAATAATAATTTCCCCGAATACCGCAACAAGCAAATAAACCAACAAAGAACGAAGGCAGAAGCAGAACAGAAAACAGGAGCAAAGGCAGAAGTAAGCGGGAGAAGGTGGAAGGTGGAGCAGCGAAAGCGAAATCAAAAGAAACCAGGGCATAAAAATACACCCACAAAATGTAGTGTTACAGTGGATATTCCGACCAAAGGATATCGTCTACTCAGAATACTATAAATAAATTTATAAAAAAAAGGTCCAGCCAACAGATCCGCAATATCCAAAAGGATAATTCTCTCTCTGCCTCGATCTTTTCATACCGAAGCATATACCCAGACTAGATCCGGGTGATATGTTTATATTCCCCATGCTTCTCCCCCCGTACAGGGTATCATAACAGTATACGCTTTATTTATGACGAAAGTTTCGAGTGGTGTGCCACCGGCACCCCTCTCTCCGTTGGCCATGAGATTGTCTCTCTGGTTGGAGGACCCGCGAGTGAGTCGGGCAGCAGCAGGAGGAGGAGTAGTGCCATCTGCTGCCGCTTCTGCTGCCTCTGCCTCTGCCTCTGCTGCCAATGATTATGATGATGGCAATCCTGCACGCACACAAAACGCCGAACAGGTGGAGCTGCCATTCGCCGTCCCTCCGCACCCTACCCCTACCCATTCCCCCTTCCACTGTATGTCCTTCACCTTTGCCTGTGATTCAGGCTACTCGTTCTTCGCCCTGCTTTTCTCCGTCTCGCTTTTTGTTTTGTGCACATTTGTTACGCTCAATAAATGAAAATGTTCATATAAATATTTCATATTTCTGGCTGCCGCCACTTCAGCATGTGCCACGCCTCCCCCCCACACACACACACACACACCGCGGCCCCCACTCGCAAAAACAGTTTCCGCCCATTAAATTGACATACGCGCATTCGTATTCGTATTCATTTCCCTTTTGGCGCTC